AAGAAGAAAAATCATACATACATCATCGACATTTACAGGGCACTCCCGTTGGTGGGGCAAAGAGACGGAACCGAAATCTCCATCCAAGTGGAGAAGGATGCTTAAAAAACGAACTTTTCCAGCCATAGAATCCAAATAATCCCATCATATTGAAATCCATATAACTCCACAAGAGTCCTATAGAATCTATGTAATTTTATTAAACTCCATAAAACTCAAATCTTTTAAAATCCATCAAAATCATAATTGTGGACACTCCCGTAACTTTTGTTTTCGCGCGCTGAATTGTGTAATAAGCAAAAAAGTAAGGTTGGGGTTACTTTTCTGGCTGTATTGGCTGAAGTTACTGTAGATGACTATTTTAGCTATTTTTACATAAAAAATTTTCTTTATTTTATTAATAAAATAGCTGAGTAGGAACAAATTTGACCTGTAAATCACCATGGGCCACCTGTTCACGAACAAAATGATAATCAATATTAATGTGTTTGTTGCGAGCATGCTGAATAGGATTTGCATATAAGTAAGAAGTAGACACATTATCACATAAAAGCTGAATAGGCGTGGCAATAGAGATACCCAACTCGAATAAAATAGACCTGGTGTGAAGAGTATCTTGAACAACATAGGCAATAGCACGATATTCTGCCTCTGTAGATGATCTGGAAATAGTAGCCTGTAGGCTGTTTCTTAGACTTCCAGGATACCAAATTCGGACAAAAAAAGATAGGAAACCCATACGTGGATCTGCTGCTGTCTGGACATCCTCCCCAATCAGCATTTGAATAAGCCAGTATAGTAGGTGTTGCAGAACTCAGCTGAAGAAGTGGACCGAAATCAGACGTCCCATGCAAGTACTTGAAAATGCGCTTAACAGCCAAAAAATGTGTAGTACGGGGAGCATGCATAAACTGGGAAACCAGGTGAACAACATAAGTAATATCAGGCCGAGTCATGGTTAAATACTGTAATGCTCCGACCATACTCAGATAAAACAGGAGATTGCAACACATCTGAATGTATTAAATATATAAGGGTACTGTAGATTTATAAAAACTTCCTGAAAATGTAATCGTTGAGACTTGTCTAAACGGCATGAAATACAATCATGAGAAAAATTAGAAGTGCTTAAAATAGATCCAGATTTCTTGAGCCTATCTAAGATACGGCTTCCACAGTGTCCTAGACGACGATGCCAGACCGGGCCAGGTGCCACATGTGTGTTGAGGGCGAGAGGTGTGGAAAGGGTAATGGGGGTAAACTCCACCGTCACTGGAAGCCTGAAGAAGAACCTTCCATGTGTGTATGTCCTTTACAAAAATGGAATTTTTATTAAAAATTACTAAACAGTTATTGTCGGCACATAATTTTTGAATGGAAAGAAAATTATATTTAATATGAGGAACATGATAAACTGATTTTAAATGGAGAGGACTAGACAAGGTGGATAATGACACATTACCAACAGTAGCAACCGGTAAAGTAGATCCATTAGCAACTGTGATAGAAAGTGATCCAGACGAAGAGAATTTAGTGGACAAAATACCTTCGTGAGGGGTCATGTGAGCAGTTGCACCGGAGTCAGGAAACCAAACAGCAGATGTAGATTCTCCAGTTGACACAGCTAAGGCAGGATTAGATGCTTGAACAAAGCAGGACGAACAGTTGACAGCTGAATGGCTGGGAGAGTGACAAATCTGCCAGACAATAGGTGAACAAAGCGGAACAGAACCAAAGCTATTCTCAAAAGATGGTGAGCCTGCAGAAGTAGATAAAGCATAACTAGTATAATACCGTGACGCAACCGAATTACCTACAACTGTATCTGTCTGTCCCGGATTCGTAGAAGGTCGCCCTCCATAATGTCCATAAGCTGCCGGTGGGTAGAAGCCGTACGCGGGTGAAGGTGCCCCGTACTGAGCGGGCACCGTAAGGAGGAGGGGGCCGTAGTGCCGACCACCGTGGCCACGACCTCCCCTGCCACGCTGGCCGCGACAGCCTCCTCTGCCTCGCTGACCGAGGTGCTGCAGGCCGAGGTGCTGCGACAGGCTGAGGAGCTGCGGCATGAGGTGCTGCAAATGCTGGGGAACCAACTGCTTGCTCCTGCCGTTGTTGAAACAAAAGCCATTGCTCTTGGTGGACCAATTTTGTGCACAAATTCTCAAAGGTAAGGCCCTTGGAAAATAACGTGAGTGGAGTGACAACAGACCGATAATCAGGACCCAAACGAATGAGTGTTTGTTCTAGTAGATCTTTCATTGGGACCGGGGAATTTTTGGCAGCCAAGGCATCAGTGATATTACGTATCTCCCTGAGATACTGTTCCGTGGATTGAGATTCCTTTTCCTTTTTGCGTAAAGTAGTAAGCATTATTTTGAACTCCATGGAACGAGCTAAACTGGCTTACATAAACCGAGACTCAAGACGGTCCCAAATAAGATGGGCATGTTTAATTGTATGAACTTCCACCAAAACATCACGAGAGAGCGTAGCAAAAATGCAAGAGCGTACAGTTTGATCCAATTTGAGCTAATGACAATATTCATTATTCATAACTTGGCAATTTTGAATGTTCATAACATGCATAGGTGGGGTTTCAATTGTTCCATCCAAAATTCCAAGTAAACTATGAGACACCAAAAAAGATTCAAACTGTGTACGCCAAGGTAAGTAATCCTCCACAGCATTTAATTTAGTAGTAACAATATTCGTGATGTTCATGGCTAAAATACCGAGGGACTGGGACAACATGGCGAGTGAGGAATTGCCTGATGATACCTGATTCCGGGGGCCGATTGGACTGATTTGAGGAATTACGGACAGACCGGGAGAACCAAGGAGCGTCGAACCGGTGAACAAACTTGCGGGAGCATCCGAGATTATTGCAGCAGAAGATGAGGCCGAGTTCTGTCCGTGAGTAGTGTGCTGCGACGAGACCAATGGGGAAGAGGGAGTCGCCGGAGACGTCGGAGACCATGTAAAAATTGGCGGGACCCAATTATCAACCGTCAAAGGCAGAAGAGTTGTGATAGCCGGCAAGCTGAAGATGGCTTGTTGCGGCTGAGTTCGGGATGGCAGCAGTAGGCGTGGCTGTGGTAGGTGCTGCCATGGTGGTCGATGAAGAGGCGGCCTCGGTAGTCATGATGATCGAAAATTTTTATAATCCTAGGGCTCTTGATACCATGTGAAAATAATGAGGAAGTGCACCTCAATGGTAGCCCCAAAAGTATTATTTATAATAAAAGAGTCAAAGATACATTGAGATTTCTACTATAATTAGACAACCTAATTAATATTACTAAATACATTATTAGTTTGAACAAATACGGTTTATAAGCATATATTATGATGAATCATCCTGCTTTATAGAAGCATATATTTTAGAAAACTTTCATTATATTTAACAATATATGAAGTTAAACATAACTAATGTTGGCTAGAGGGGTAAATAATTGATATTTAAGATGCAAATTTGAATTAGTGATTTTGACCTAACCTCAAGGGGCTAATAATAATTTCAATTTAATTCATTGTTGGCTGAAAATAAAGACTTTAAATGAGACAACCAGATCTTCAGAGAAGATAGTGTCCAACATAATATTTGTGGGTGTCCGTCGTGTGAACCCACTGGACAGAGTCAAATATGCTTGAACGCTCACCAATGATTATACATTTTACACTTCCGGTGGCAGAGGACTTGGGAGAGCTATCAGCTAGCGAGGCAGCCATGTGGGAGAACCAAACATCTGCGGTATCTAACTTCAATGCAGCTTTCCAAGTATGTGCAACCTATTATGGTATCATTTTACATATGTAAGAAACAAGTCAAATAAAAGTATACTATAGTAGTATGTATTTAGTACAGAGTGTTTGTAAAAAGACAAATTGGGTATGGAATACTTAAGTAAACTTAGTTCCATACTGAGGAGTGAGGACAATAGTCCTCACCCCAAAGGCACAAACACCTCACTGATCTAAGACCTTTTCTTTTTTAGGTAAATAAAGACATCACACAAATATCCTACCACGAATTCCCAAAGATTAGTTAATTCTTTGTTTTTTCCCTCTCATTTTGAAAAGAGAGAGGAGGTATTAACCTACAAATTTGTATTTTAGAGATGGAAAAGGTCATCAAAAGAAGATAGTACTTAAGATGTGAAGTTCTTGTATGAGAAGCAACTAACTAACAATATTGTACATAGTCCGCTCCAATCCCGCTTACGTCTCTACGGAGCTCTAGCTTATTTCTTGTGATCACTTTTGTCGTGCTCAACTAGTCAACTCTCCTCATGGTGTTCTTAATTAAAAAAATTCAACACTTTTTAATCCTCAATTTTTTTTAAGTACTCCCTTCATCTCCCTATAATTAGGGTTGTAAACAAATCGAATCGAGTCGAAGAATGAGATTTTGTATTTGTTTGATTTTTTCTGCCATTAGATGCATGGTGCAGGATTTGGGCCTTCTGCTGGGTTGCAAAGAGATTTCTTAAGCGAACTTTGACCGGCTATGCCCAAGCAGAATTCCAGTTCTAAGTAAACAACAAGGCTTGAAAACAGTCTTAATTATGACCATTCAACCACTTAAGAACTCGTTTCAATCTTTTTATTCGAAACATCAATCCGTCAATAAATGAGTAACCCAGATGAGTGATTTTGACTTTTTTTTTTTAAAGAAAAAAATACTTATTTTACCCAACACTATCAACTTTTACTTTTTCGGCTTCCGTGTAGAATCTACTTTTTACTTTTTCTATTACACAAAAAACACTTATTTTACCAAACACTACCAACTTTTACTACCAATCACTTTTTTTTATATCAAAAAGTGCTTTTATTTAAGCATAAGTGGTTACAAACAAAGTCTATGTCTCAATATTAGGGGGCAAAAGTAGTAGTATATAGGTTTAAATATCGGGCCTACTCTCAATTTTTTTAAAAAAATTAATAAAATTGAAAAGTCTTGATCCGTCATTCATCCCCGGTTCGCACCGCACTAGTCTCTCCCTTCAGTCCAGTCTCCAGTGAAGCCCAAAATTGGCACATGGTCCAAAATTGAAAATCCCAAAATCGGTAGCAACCCCCCAAAGGCCAAATCCCAATTCCCGACCATCTGCAGTCGCTGCCGGACGGCGCACGGCGGCTCAGGCGCTCAGCACTCGGACGGCGCACTGGCGGTTTAGATTGTTGACTTTCTGCTCGGCTGCTCTAATTGCTCTTAGGTGGTAAACTGAGACTCTGAGAGCTGCTCTTCGGTGGTAAGCAGAGGCCTGACTCCTGAGAACTGCTGCCTAAGTCACTGCTAAGTGCTTTACAGTTATCTTTTTAATTTTTTAATTTTATTGTGTTTTTTATTCAAGTTAAAGACTAAATTACAGCTTTGCTTGATATGAATTTGATTATTATTTGTAAACTTGTAAATTGTAATAATCTTTTATAGTATGAATTTGCTTGTGATTTGTTATTATTAATCTAATGATTAAGTTAATCAATATTAGTGTCGTAATTAATCATCCCTTTGTTTCAATAAAGGTAATGAAGAGATACTATAACCCTGTTGAAGAAAAAGCTAACAGAAGTAGCTCATCCAGAATCATAGTGCCCTCAACTACTGCCCCGTACGCCTGTGCCCCTTGCCCGCTCCCTAGTGCCGCTCTGCGCGCGGCTGCGCTGTCCCGCTTCCGCCCTTACCTGCTCGCTGAGTCGATGGTCTTCTGATTTTCAAGTATGTATACTGCTTTCATTTTTGTTTTGTTATATTTTATTTCCTTCGGCTTTATGCCTTATTTATGGAATTTGAAGGTTTTTGTGGTCGTGAGTTCAGAAACATTTCTCCCTAGATTTCTGGGATTTAGTTGTTGTGAATTTTTAGGTTGTTGTGAATTCTGAATTCAGCTTTAGTTCAGGGAATTGTGGTCTGCGATTTAATGTGAATATTGTGACCTGTTGGCATTCAAATTTAGGCCTTTAGTTCGATACAATTCAGGTTGTTGTTGTGAATTCTAAATTCTGGAATATCCCTACATAGCTCCTTAGATTGTTGGTGTGAATTGAACGAGTAAAACCTTAGTGTGAAGGTTTATAAAGCTGAAAACCCCACCATTTTACTGTCTAACTGTAATTTTAGATTGTTGCCTGTGTATTGTTCTTCTTTAGTTGGTTATCCTGCTTTAGTCAATGTACAGTTAAGGTGAATATATGCTTCTGATTTTCACATATTCTCATTAGTTGTTTTTAGTATTAAATTGTTGATGTGTATTAGTTGTGTACCCCTAACTATTGAAACTTGAGATTTTGCAAGTTGGATTGTTGTGGAGGTGCTGGTGTTTAAACTTGTTGTTCTTTAGGTCCACTCATCATTTTGCACTTAGATTTTTGTGATTAATATTTAAAGCTGGGTCTGATTTAATATTTAATATTTACAGTTGGGTCTGATTTAATATGTACAGTTGGGTCTGATTTAATATTTAGTTATGATTAAAGCTTTCACCACATACGCTGGATAAGGATTAATTTTAGGTTCGTTACTTTGTGTTGAGACTATCTCGTGAGATTCTTTGAAACCTTGTTTTGCTAAATGATTTTGTATGCTCAATCCTCTTTGAATTTGAAAATTAAATTAAATTAAATTGAAACCTTGTTTTGCTAAATGATTTTTATCCTAATAAGTGTTTTGGTTCTTTAAACAAATAAGTCAAGTATTACTATACACCATGTGCTAATTTAGACTACATTTTCAGTGGTTAATTGTTTCATTAGGTTAAGTGTCATTTTTTATCTCATAGATATCGTTTTGGCTTACCGCTTACAGTAGTTCAATAATTTTGATTATTCATTCTTTCAAGTTTGTATGCTTTCTTGATTCCAGCATACTGGTCTACCGATTAATGAGTGACATCGCTTCTCACTTTAGTTTCTCTCTTAAATTAATTAAAATGTCATTTTGGACATTGTGCCCAAACTTTTTTTAGCCTGACAAGTTTCAATCACCGGAATAAAATTTTAATAAAAAAATTGTAGTGGTATAATAAAAGATTTCTGTTTACTTCTATTCTATTTGGTATAACAATCTGATGTAATTAATTAGTGTTAAAAATTGCAGACTTTCTCTCAGAAGCTTGTTCGTGCCACTACTGAAAGTATTAGTATTTATTCGAAGGCAACATATGCATTGCGATGCTTGGGAGGCAAAGCTTGGCGGAAGCTTTAGGGGTGTGTGCCAATAATTCACTGATAGTTCAGGGAAAGCTTGTTCATGCCGCTACGCTGAGAAGATTTTATGGGTCTGATTTAATCATAAACAATTACCTCATTGATATGTATGCAAAATGCAGTAGGATAATAATGGCACAGAATGTGTTTGATAAAATGCCCGCCAGAAATGTAGTTTCATGGACAGCTTTGATGTGTGGGTATTTACAGGTTGGCGCAGCAAAAGACACACTCTTACTTTTATCTGAAATGATACATTCAGATGCACGCCCCAACGAAGTCACTTTCTCAACCAACTTTAAGGCATGTGGGATTCTGGGTGCCATAGGACAGGGAAGGCAGATTCATTGCTTTTGTGGAAAGAGTGGGTTTGAATGGAACCAAGTTGTTGGGAATTCTTTAATAGATATGTACGCGAGATGCGGGAAAATAGCTGAGGCTGAAAATATGTTTTTTGCAATGCCTGATAAAAGACAAATTACTTGGAACTCTATGATATCAGGATATGCACTTCAAGGAATGGGGCAAAGATGTTTAACCTTGTTCAAACAAATGCAAGAGCACGGAGAAACGCCTGACAACTTCACCTTCGCAAGCACTTTGAAAGCGTGCACTTCTTTAAGAGCCATCCGTGAAGGAAACCAAATCCACGGTTTTCTGATTGTTAGAGGACTCCCCATTTACAACAACAAAGTCACTTCTGGTGCACTCATTGACATGTATGCCAAATGTGGAACCTACTTACTCGAAGCCCAAAAGGTTTTTGATCTAGTGGAGCCAAAAAGCATCCTTTCTTGGACTTCTCTAATTATAGGTTATGCGCAACAGGGAAATCTAATGAAGTCCTTCGACTTGTTCAAAGAGCTTAGGGAGGAGAGTGAACTTCCCATAGATGAGATTCTTGTGTCCAGCTTGATGGGAGTTTTCGCTGATTTTGCCCTTGTTGAGCCAGGGAAACAGTTGCACTCTTACTCCATCAAACTTCCATGTGGTCTAAACACCCCAGTCCTTAACTCAGTCATTGATATGTATCTTAAATGTGGGTTTATAAATGAAGCCGAAAGACTCTTTGGTGATATGCAGCGAAGAAGTGTAATCACTTGGACGACAATGATAACAGGCTATGGGAAGTACGGAATCGGAAGAAAAGCAGTTGAGCTCTTCAAAAGAATGGATTTTGAACCTGATGGGGTTACTTACCTTGCTTTACTCACTGCATGCAGTCATTCAGGACTAATTGAAGAAAGCCAAAGATACTTTTCGAGATTGTGCAAGGAACCCAAGGTAAAACCTCAGCTGGAGCACTATAGCTGCATGGTTGATGCTCTGGGTCGGGCTGGGCGGTTAATTGAAGCCAAGAATCATATTGAGAATAATGTATCACTAAAATCAAATCCAGAGATTTGGAAGACACTCCTAAGTGCATGTAGAACACACAAGAATGTGGATTTAGGAGCAGAAGTAGGTGATATTTTATTAAGATTGGAGGGTGATAACCCATCAAACTATGTCATGCTATCTAACCTATATGCAGATATCAACAACTGGAAACAGAGTGAAAACCTCAGGTTTCAGGCAAAAGCGAAAGGGCTAAAGAAGGAAGCAGGACAGAGCTGGGTAGAGATCAAGAAAAAGATGCACTTTTTCTACAACAGAGACGAGAGACATCCCCTGACCGAATCAATCCACAAGATTCTGAAAGAGATGGAGAGAAGAATGAAGGCAGAGCTGGGGTATGCACACACGGTGAGCTTATCGTTGCACGATGTGGAAGATGAATCAAGGGAGGAAAGCTTGATGTTTCACAGTGAGAAACTAGCAATCGGGCTGGCATTGATTCATGATAATGAGAGTGGGATTAATGAGGCAGAACCGGTTCGTGTGTTCAAGAACCTTAGGGTTTGTGGGGATTGCCATGAGTTCATCAAGGGATTGTCCAAGATTCTAAAGAAAAAAGTTTTTCTGGTAAGAGATGCTAATAGATTCCACAAGTTTGAGAATGGTGATTGCTCCTGTGGTGACTATTGGTGATAGTAATTGCACAAAGACTTCAGAAATGTGTGATTTTTCAGGCTTGTTGTTTTTACTTAGCTTTTCACAATACATTTTGGTGCCGAAGTTGATGTAAATTAAAGAATTTTATGGGTGAACCTTTGAAAATGCTGATGAAATTATGAAGAAATTAATATTTTTCCACATGTACAGGCTATTTAGGTGGTGGATATCTTGGCAACTAAAGGATGTGAAATGATACTATCATAGTCAAAGTGTTATAGGCTTGAACTGTCATAAGTTTATGTTGGACACTATCTTCTCCGAACATATCGGGATCTTGTCGTCTCTGCGTCCACTACTGTCGGAGATATCACGGACGATCATGTGCATCCTGCTCTCACTTATTACTTGAACCTGATCCCCAATTCCATTGAATTTCACAGTCTGACTGCCAGAAAGTCCTGGAAAATAGTGCCTGATGTTTGGTCTGGATCTCACATCTCAACACTTGCCAGAGTGATTTCATCGATCGACCATCACTACCACAGTGAGACACCTGAATAATTCATCGTGAATCGTCTCCCCAGCCAAATCCAAATTTCGCAGATTTCAAATCGGAGTGGAGTAGTGTAGCCAAATCTGTTGGACTTGGATGTGCGTTGCAAGATGAGAAGGGGAGATTTCACTTTGCTTGTCTTCTCAATTTTGTTCTACTTCAAAATATACGCTCTGTCTCGTCTAAATTCGTGAGGATTGAAAAGACGAAGGATCAGGTTTATGGTTAGGAGCTAACTTTGGTGACCGTCGAGTTCCTTCAGTCACGGCGTGCTACCTGGAAGCATGGTCACCGCTGCTTGGGCTGTCTTCATATTGCCTCCTCATCCTTGTCTCAAGCACCAGGTTCTGTCGGGAGCTTCCTCCCGGCCTTGGAGGGGTTTTCTCCACTGTAGCGTTCTCAGCTGATGCATTCTTCTGCACTGCAGTTTCCTTTGTGCTTTGGCTTTCATTCTATATAATACTTTTCCAGGTGTGAGAGATGACTGGAAGTTGAGATGCCGGCCAATTGCTTTACTTCCAGAGATGTGCCTCAGATAGCTTTGCTGGAGGTGATGAAATTCATCTTATATCCTCCCTATCCATCATCCTACAAAGTCAATCATATATGTTGTTATCGACAATTTGTAGAGTACTAAATCACAAGTCTATTGCACAACTTGCTTATTATCTAGGGAAAAAGTTACTCTAATCTTGGTAATCAGATTACTAAATAATTTCTAAGATAAATAATTTTTGTTCTACATCCATCTGCTGAAGTTTAGCCTTTGTGTTCATTAATTCCTTTTACCTAATGATTGATTAAGCTATAGGTCTGTGTTGATTTTCTTGTCTAGCTTTGCTTGCTTTAGATAATATTCAAAGTCACTGGTTGCAATTGGATAGCTCCTTCTTGGCCTGGGAATCAGTCATAAAGATGTGGAGGACATAAGTGGTTGGCTATTCGGTACATATTATGGGAATATAAAGTTTATGACTTAGCTTATTGTTGTATATCATGTGAGGATCTTTACATCCTCTTATTTCTTTTTGCAGACTCAAACTGAAAGTTTGAATGACGTTATTATCAATTATGCAATGAAAAGCTGGCTCTACTTTTCACTGCTTTCATTGCTTCTCTTCTCTTCTATTTGATTCATGCTATTTGTGCGTATTTATTCTAATGCTTTTATACTTGGACGCCATCACTGCTGGAATCAAATATCTTCCACAAAGACGAGAATGGCGTCTGGTTGGGGAATCTCGGGAAACAAAGGCCGCTGCTATGATAAATGGATTTCAGTGAATGTCTGTCGACTTACCTGGAGCCTAAGGACTGCGTTCTTCTCCTAGAAGACTATCTCGAGTGTCTCCATCACTCCAAAGAGTTTCTACGTAGGAATAGGGTATACAAGGAAGAGCACGTCAACTAAGAGCAGCTGCTCAAAAGGGAAAAGAAGTTGAAAAGGATGTTAAATCTCCATTGATTGTAAAATTTTTCCTGTATGGATATCTGGTTTTTGCCCATTTGAAAGCAAGTTGAAGTGGATGCTTTCAGAATAAAAGGGTCACTTGGTAATTCAATTGTTGTACTATTTCACAGAATGGTAAAAGCATTGCAAGATTGTATGGTAAAACACCATCTACTATGTGCCACTTGGTGTGTGGGCATCTGTTTTAAAAAAATATAATGCTTTTATACGTTGTTTTTTGTTCCATTTTGTTGCATCGTATATGTTATTATCAATGTTGTCAATCCCAAAAACGCTTTTAGTGGTATAGCGGATAGTGGGAATGTGGGATGACCACTATTTCGACTACTTTCAAATATAATAGATAACTAACTACTAGAAACACATGTCATACATACATATGAAAAAAAATACTCTGCCTAATTCGAAGCATATGTTTTAACTATGGTAAGGTACATCTAAGGTCTGCAAAGAGACTACTAAGTTTTAACTTCCGGACCAGTTAACTTGCAAAAATCATTTGACAACCTTCTCAGTTGAAGTTTTTGCTGAAATTTGGTATGGATGAACTAGACTTGATGAGGAACATACACAAAAAATTTGAGTCAAAAATACCATCGGGAACCACCTCAAATTGAGGTGGCCGGACAGGGGAGTGGTCCGGCCTGGCCTAACCTGAATACTCCTATATATACATGTATATATATATATAGAGAGAGAAGTGATCTGGTCCAGCCGGAGGGACGGGAGGCGCCGTCTGAACTCTGCTGTTTGGGGCGGTTCCCGGTGGAATTTTTTGATGAAATTTTTTGAGCATGTTCCTCATCAAGTCTAGTTTGTTCATACCAAATTTCAGCTCAAAATTCGACCGGGAAGGCATTCAAATCATTTTTTGAAGTTGACTGCGCCAAAATATACATATAAAAATGCAGAGTATATTTTATATAATGGGCAGTTTATATATATAAACTGCCCAGTTTTGGTAGGGAATTTTTTTGACTGCCTTCCCGATAGAGTTTTTAGCTGAAATTTGGTATGGATAAACTAGACTTGATGATGAACATGCTCAAAAAATTTCATCAAAAAATTCCACCGGGAAGGCCTCCAAATGGCCTCGGCCTGACGGCGGTTCCCGTCAGGCCGGCCTGATATGAACTGCCGTCTATATATATATATATATATATTTTTAACCCGGAAGGCAAACCACCAAAATCAGTGGGGTAAATGCCGGGAGTCATTTACCATATTTTATTTAAAATTCGACGAAAAGGAACAAAATGAGGGGGGACTAGACCAAAACCCCTCGGGAAATACAACGAAGATATAAAATACCAAAAAGCAAACGAATCGGGGACCGAAACCGACCCGATAAACAGACAAGAAACAAAAGAAAACAAATACCAATTACCATCCGTCTATATATATATATATATATATATATATATATATATATATATATATATATATATATATATATATATATATATATATATAGAAATCATCTCATCAGGCCGGCCTGACAGGCTGCCCCGTCCGGCCGAGCCCGTTTGGGCACCTTCCCGGTGGAATTTTTTGATGAAATTTTTTTAGCATGTTCCTCATCAAGTCTAGTTTGTCCATACCAAATTTCAGCTCAAAATTCGATCGGGAAGGTCGTCAAATGATTTTTGCAAGTTAACTGGTCCGGAAAATACATATTCCGGACCAGTTAACTTGCAAAAATCATTTGACGACCTTCCCGATCGAATTTTGAGCTGAAATTTGGTATGGACAAACTAGACTTGATGAGGAACATGCTCAAAAAATTTCATCAAAAAATTCCACCGGGAAGGTGCCCAAACGGGCTCGGCCGGACGGGGCAGCCCGTCAGGCCGGCCTGATGAGAAGAGCTCTCTCTCTCTCTCTCTCTCTATATATATATATATATATATATATATTCATACTACGTACTTCCTCTGTTCTTTTTTAGTTGCAACGGTCAACATTTCACACTTGTCATTGCACATCTTTGACCATAATTATATCTTAATCTCTATTAGCACAATAAAAAAACAGATTTTTAAAATTTGTAATGAGATGAATAGAACAATATTTTTTAAAAATAATTCTCATAAAATAATAGCGTAAAATGTAATCAAAGTAGAACATGTGAATAATGTAAAATTCAACATGTTGCGATTAAAATAACGGAGGATAGTATTTTTTTGTAAAGGTTGACCGAGTTGACCCGCCATTGACCGGGCTGACCCTTGACCCGGTCCCTTGCCCGGGTCACCTCCCGGTTTGATTTTGACAACACAACCTGAAATAGTCACGAAAATGAAATGTCAGACCCTTATTTCTGATATTGTAAATGTCACCCCCTCAATTGTCCAAAATGTACTCTCGCCCATTTAGGACATTTGAAATAACCCATGAGCCTAACATTTCAGGGACTAAAATTGCGATTGCCCCTGAAAAGAAAGAAAGCTAGCTGGACCGCAACATAAGAAAGTAACTACAAAATTAGTTGTTGACTACTAAATTTTGTAGCTTGAGTGTACCATTTAGTGGGATCGATTGAATGATTTTATAGTGTGATCGGTTAATAGTATTTTTTTGAAACAGATCGGTTAATAGTATGAAAGCCCATTTCGCATTTTTCCTAAATTAAAAGCCATTTCGACTTATCAGGCTTATCAACCGACTTTTTCACCAAACACGTAAATACGTAACTTTAACTTTCGCACGCTGAGGTGTGTAATAAACAGAAAAAATAAGGTTGGAGTTACTTTTCTGGTTGTTTTGGCTGAAGTTATTGTAGCTGACTATTTTAGTAATTTTTACATATAATTTTTTCTTTCATTTATTAATAAAATATTTTTTAAAAATAATTGTTTCTAATACAACAGAATCAGTCAATGCAGCCACTTCAGCCAAAACTTCAAAAATTTCAGCATAATTAGCCAAAACACCGACTTCCGTGCTACCAAACGGGCTCTAAGTTTAACTTAAATTTGAACTGTTCACCTTAATAAGCAAAATACATACTTGCAAAAAAAAAAGCAAAATACAACTCGAGAATATCAAAAGAAGGTTTAAGGACATTACAACATGCAGCTCTCTGAGAAATAACTACTACCTATAAGATACAAAGTTATCAATCACTCTTCATTAGCACATTCTCTGAACTCAGAATTCGTCATATCAACACCTGCAAGTCTGCAACGGGGTTCATCCAAATATCATTAGAAACTTCATCAATTTACACGAGAATCACAAGGCTCAAATGCTCAATCTTCTTTCAGCCTAATAAAAATTGATGTTAAATTTGAAGCAACTTGTATATATATTTTATTTGGTATGAAATATGTACTATGAAAATGAGGTAAAAAAAGCAAACTATATACGGAGTACATTATAATTTTAATTATTTTCATTATTTAACTTTAATGTTTTTCGAGTTCAAATAGTCAAATAAGATTCAAATATATACGAATATACCAAATGAATCAAATACAAATATAAAATAAGATTCGAATATTAAACGAATAGGAATACGAATATTCAATAATTATAGAAATAGTCAAATACGAATAATATTGTCAAATGTCAAATATTCGATTCGCTTCGTTGACAACCCTAGCCATGATTATGGAAGATTTTTATATTTTCTGGTCACTTGGGTGAAAATCAAATATTTGAAGTCCATAATCACGCTCCAAAAGTGGATAAGTTGAAACTTCAAAGCCAATGACCGAAACTAAGTTCGCATAATCGAGTGTGTACGAAAGTGGAAAATTTTATTTTGACAATTTTAAATTACCATCTTATGTAGTTATGTGGTTGTGCTTCTAAAATGATAGAAAAGTGCCTGCACTTAATATTCATGCAAATAACAAGGCACACAAAAATACATTTTCCTAAGAGATCACATAGATATTGTCTATGTTATCACACAAAAATACATTTTCCTAAGAGATCACAAAAATAAAATGAGATCACATGATGCTATTGTCTAACCTATCCATAGATAATCTTTGCAGCTGCTGATGATCGATGCAGCCGTATAAGCTTTTTCAATATCCGAAACCCTTGTTTTTCATCGCAACTTTTGGCATGGGGTTTAATTATCATTTTCCTAAGCCTTGGAGATTTGATTAAAAGAAGTTTTGCAAGTGCCATTTGGTTCCTTGTACCAGTAAAATATTTCAACTCCACCCTCTTCAACTGATCTAGTTTCACATCTGAGAATTCTTCAACATCAAGTGAGTCGAGAGAAGGATTTTGGCCAGCAACCCCAGTGCAATTACATAGCTAAAAGATAGAAAAAACAACAATAACATTTATAATGAGCCAAAAATAAAATATAAATATTTAAATGAATTCAATAACATAAATTAATAAAGGAAAACATATAAAAGACAACTCACTCGAATCATGATACATTGCAAGTTTGGTGAGATTCTAACCATCAAAAGTACACATGTCATCTCCTCCGTTTTCTCTAAACATATTCCCTCAAGTATAAGAGTGTTAAGGTGCACTGCAGTTAGACTAGGCCTTTTTAGGACTCCATTTGCTGCTAAAAACTTCAATTGTTGCACACAAAGCATGGTTCTTCATTAGTCTCCAAAACTCATTGTCATGCGGGTTTATCATAAAATAAAGAGTACAAAAAAGCTAAATTGTGGTAGGGCACGTTTCTACTTAATAGCATGTGAAATGTTCCGGTGGAGAATAGAGTTTGTGTTTTTGCACCATGAGCATGGAGGATGTAGGCCAAATGTTAAATGTTTTTTGCTGGTATGACTCTTGCTATTTGAATCTAATGTGGCACGAAGTATAGTGAACATTTTCACTGATGTGCAATCATTTCCATAGTAGCAATCACAGGAACCGCAGTTCTCGGCTGCCAATGACAGATGACCAGTTTTTTTAATTACTATTTTGCATTCCAATGTATTGATAAATCAGCCCTATATGAAAATGTATTAACTTCTTTGTCGTCATTGGTGACTAGTATTTATACATCCATGATATAAAGTTTAACGTTGGGCAAATATATGAAGTGTGTAAACAAAACTCTTCACTATAACAGTTAATTACCAACACTAACCAACATTGCTAGCCACTAATTATTTTAAAAGTTATCTAAATAGTTTATTTACTCGGTGGCAGTGGTGGCTGGCAAGTTTTTGTGGTTGTAACAGTGGCAATGGTAGTCAATCAAGTATGACCAATAATAGTAATTACTGCATCCAA